GTGAACGACTGGGTGATGCCCTTCCCACGACAAAAGTCCCGCAAGAGGTCGGAGGAGAACTCACCACCTCTGTCTGAGTGTAGATGCAGGACAGGAAGGTCCTGGCCGAACCGCTTGCGCAACTGGAGACGGATCGTGCGGATCCAAGGGATGAAGACAGCAGAGACCTCACCCTTGCTGCGCAAGGGGAAGACTGTGGTGTACCGCGTGTAGTCGTCAACTACCAGCAGAAAGTAGCGCTCGCGTCCCTGTCCACTGACGCGGGCTGGGCCCCACACGTCCAAGTGGAGAGTCTGCAGGGAAGCAGTCATCGGGGGGAATGAGGAGGAGTGAGGAGCGGCGCGCTGCCGCCCCTCGACGCAAGGAAGACAGGGCGGAGCAGGCGAGGGCGGTAAGGGAGGCAAAGACCTGGGGGGACCAGAGACATGGAGACGGGAGTGCATGCCACGAAGGCGTGGTAGGGAGGGAAGACCCAAGCGGTGGTGCCAAAGAAGAGTCTGGTGCGACAGGAGGCGTCACGAGCAAGAGGCGGCTACCTGACCTGACGCGGACACCTGAGCAGACGCAGCGACCTGAGGAGGCTCGGTAGCCAGCGTGTACAGACTCGACCCTGGCCGACGAGTGAACGTAGCCAGGTGACGCCCCGTCCGTGTGCACGTGCAGATCGACACACGCTGACCCCCAGGAGTGGTGGTAGTGACCATCGCATCCTGAAGAGCAGCGGTACTCACCAAGTTTGTAGAGAACGAGGGGAGGTGAAGACGTGACAGTCAGCTGGACGGAACTGCCGGACACAGGAGGACAGTGGAGGAACGGGCAACGACCGGGCCTCCAGAGGGGTCAGCCAGTCTGACCGGGACAGGTGCAGGGAGAGGAGTGAGAGTGGTGCTGTCACGAAAGAAACAGCGCGAGGCGGCGGAGTCCAACGTGAAAGTGTGCAAGGCCTCAGCAGGCGCAGTACCAGGGGGAGTACTAGACGCACTAGTACCTAGAGCAACAGCCGCTATGCATGGGTCAGGTGGCACACACCGGTAACAGTCACCCTCAGCACTAAAAGACAAAGCATACATGGCAGAGATAATAACATCAAAGTCTAGGTCAAAGATAGCAACCCCTGAGTGAAGCAACTGCGCCCAGCGAGGGCGCTCGACGTCATCACCAAACTCAGCACGCCAGGCGTCGTCAAGGTGGGCAAAGCAGCGGCGCTCATTGTGAAACTTCCCGCATGTCCGGCCCGCACGGACACCTGTGCGAATGACATAAGGGCAGGTCTCACTACCCTCACCCGCCCCATGCTGAACCAACCTCTCATGGAGCTGCTGGGGCGTCTGGGTCTCACTCCGACGCTGCTGTTGCTGGCCCTGACCACAACCAGGGCCTCCACGCTGAGGTCCAGACCGACCACCACGGGTCCCACCGCCTCCACTGCCGCCACTCCCTCCGCTGCCTCCACCGCCGCCACCAGAGCCTCCACCGCCGCCACCAGTCCCACCGCCGCCACCACCCCCACCGCCTCCACCTCCTCTACCGCTGCCCCCGCTACCGCTCCCACTGCCACCTCCACCACCACTGCTGCCTCCTCCACTACCCCGGCCACCCTTGCCCTTGCTGTTGCGGCGCTTCGCACTAGTCGAAGCAGCACCAACGTCCTCAGGAACAGAGACATCTGCAACAGCAGCAGAGGCGAAGGAGGAGGAAAGGGGGGAGGGGGAGCACCCCTCAAAGAAGGGTGAGCGCGGAGTGCCATGAGCAGCACCTACAGCAACTGCACTAGTCTCAGCTGTGAGGAGATGCTGCTCGAGGAGTTCAACAGTGAGGGAGGTGGGGTCGAGGGTGAGGAAGTGGTCCCTGACAGAGCGAAGGGAGTCAGGGAGGCGAGTGACTATGAAGTAGAGGGTGATGAACATGGGGGGCTGGTTCGTGGGAAGGAACTCAGCAGGGACGGCAGCGCGGTAGCGAGCGTCGCTAGTGTGCAGGTGAGTAACCAGGTCCGCTACTGTGGCAAAAGCCGACAGCTCAGAGAACAGGTAGGGCAGTAGCAGCCTGCCAATAGCGGCAGTGGCAGGAGAGGAGTAGCGAGCAACGACAGCGTCGTACAGGGCCTGTGCTGTCCTGTGCTTTCCAAAGTGAGCACATTTGGTCGCGGGCGGGTGGTTGCGAATGGCTAAGCGGGCAGTAGCATCACGAGACAGCCACTGGGAATGATTCGACACGTCAGCTGTGGCGGGAGGGGCTGGAGTGGCACCGGACACGTGGTCAAACAGTGAGACACTGTCCTTAAGATCGCTCAGTAGGTACAGTTGTAGATCGTCGTGCCACGTGTCAAATGCTACAGGTCTGCCCTCCGGGTTGAACGAGAGAACTCTAAGCGACGCCATAGTGGCACAGGACTCAGGAGCAGCAGTAGCAGCAAGGGCAGCAGTAGCAGTAGCTAAGGGGCCAAGGGGAGGGGCCGAGGGGCCTAGGGGCCGAGGGGCCAAACAAGGGGGGGGGGGCGAGGGGCCGAGGGGCCTAGGGGGCCGAGAGGCCTAGGGGGCCGAGGGGCCAAACAAGAGGGCCGAGGGGGGGCCGAGGGGCCTAGGGGGGCGAGAGGCCTAGGGGGCCGAGGGGCCAAACACGAGGGCCGAGGGGCCTAGGGGCCGAGAGGCTTAGGTGGCCGAGAGGCCTAGGGGGGGCGAGGGGCCAAACACGAGGGCCGAGGGGCCTAGGGGCCTAGGGGGCCGAGGGGCCAAACAAGAGGACCGAGGAGGCCGAGCCTAGGGGCCGAGGCTAGGGGCCGAGGGGCCGAGGGGCCAAACAAGGAGCCGGGCACGGGCTAGGTATGGGGCCGGGCGCGGGCTAGGTACGGGGCCGAGGGGCCTAGGGGGCCGAGGGGCCAAACACAAGGGCCGAGGAGGCCGAGCCTAGGGGCCAAGGGGCCAAACAAGGGGGGGGCCAGGCGCGGGCTAGGTATGGGGCCGAGGGGTCAAACAAGGGGCCAGGCACGGGCTAGGTACGGGGCCGGGCGCGGGCTAGGTACGGGACCGGGCGCGGGCTAGGTACGGGGCCGGGCGCTGGGCAGGAACGGGGCCAGGCGCTGGGCTCTGAACTGGGGCCGAGGGGCCAAACAAGGGGCCGGGCGCTGGGCGAGGGACGAGGCCGGGCGCGGGTGTCGACGGGCCAGGGCTAGGTACGGGGCCGGGCGCGGGCTAGGTACAGGGCCAGGCGCTGGGCGAGGGACGGGGCCGGGCGCGGGCGTCGACGGGCGGGGGCTAGGGAAGGGGCCGAGCGCGGGCTAGGTACGGGGCCGGGCGCGGGTGTCGACCGGGTGCGGGCTAGGTACGGGGCTGGGCACGAGTGTCGACAGGGCGTGGGCTAGGTACGGGGCCGGGTCGCGGGCTAGGTACGGGCCGGTCGCGGGCGTCGACGGGGCGCGGGCTAGGTACGGGGCCGGGCGCGGGTGTCGACGGGGTGATCGCGGGCTAGGTACGAGGCCGGGTCGCGGGCTAGGTACGGGCCGGTCGCGGGCGTTGACGGGGCGCGGGCTAGGTACGGGGCCGGGCGCGGGTGTCGACGGGGCGATCGCGGGCTAGGTACGGGCCGGGCGCGGGCGTGAGACAGGGCCGAGCGCGAGCTAGGTACGGGCCTATCGCGTGCTAGGTACGAGCCAGGCGCGGGCAAGAGACTGAGCCGGGCGCGGGCTAGGTACGGGCCTATCGCGGGCGAGGTACGGGCCGGGCGCGGGGCTAGGAACGAGGTAGTTGCAGTAGCAGGTGGTGGGCCCAAAAGTAACCTACTCTGATTCCATTTGAGAATAACAAATGAGAATGGGATGAACTAGCAGCAGGATGAGTACAAGTACTAACCGTGAGTTGTGTTGTACCCCATATAGGCTACCCCACTACAGACTACACAATGTGCAGCATATAAGTTTGACACTCACCACCCGCCACCACATCACCACTAGGAGTGCCAAGCCCATAGCCCACAAGCCATACCGACTGTCACCATTCGAGCGCGCTAGAATCAAGGAGGAGGTCCAAACCTTGTTCGAGCAAGGGGTCATTCGCTCTTCGGACAGTCCTTGGTCCTCTACATGTATAGTAATCCCTAAGGACTTCCAGGATTGGGTAGTAGTCGATTACCACCCGCTGAACCCCGTGACCGAAGCAGCCGATCAATTTCCCATGCCATGGATAGACGACAGACTCGCTCTATTTCTTGGTGCTAGATGTCAAATCCGCCTACCACACCATCCATGTGGCGGAGGAAGATATCCCTTAGACGTTCTTCACCTCCTCGGAGCAGTACGAATACATAAGGATGCCGTTTGGGCTTAAAAACGCACCTGCCACCTTCCAATGGCTCATGACCACCACATTTTGCACCCACGCCAATACCACTCCCTACCTCGATGACATAATTGTCTTCTCAAACAGTTGGGAGGATCATCTTCAGCACCTATGGGATGCATTCGAGAGGATCAAGGAGAATCACCTTTTGCTGAAGTTAAACAAGTGTGAGCTGGATTTTTATTCCACCGTCTACCTAGGGCACTTTGTGAAAAGGGAGGGAGTGAAGCAGGATGGAGGGAAGGTTGAGGCGATTAGCAACATGGGGTGCACGAGCTACAATCGGAGGTTCATCAAGGGGTATGCCAATTTGGCACACCCTCTCACGCAGCTGCTCCATAAGGACCACCCCTTCGAGTGGACTCTCGAGTGCAAGCACGCCTTCAACACCCTCAAGCTCGCCCCTATGCTTGCATCTCCTGATTTTTGCAAACCCTTCATACTCCGAACAGATTTCTCATGCAAAGCATTGGAGGCCATCTTGTCTCAAAAAGACGAGAAGGGAGCAGAATGGGTGGTGGCTTATGCTAGCTGGACAACAAGGGGAGCAGAGCGGAACTTATCTTCAACTCATGGGGAGTGTTTGGCGGTGGTGTGTGAAATTATACACTACAGGCCCGATCTCTACGGGAGCAGATTATTGTTAGAGATGGATTGCCAAGCACTTCAATGGCTCATGACGGCACAAGACCTCACGTGGAAGTTGACAAGGTGGAGCTTGTTGCTGTAGGAGTACAACTTCACCATCACCTACCAGGCTTGAGAGACTCATAGGAACGTGGATGCATTGAGCCGCATGCAACACGGGTTGCATCTACGTTCAGGGGGGGGGGGGGGGGGGGGGAGCCCCATCACAGAACCATGCATGCATTCCCTCATTCATCCACCCCCTCCTCCACAACAGCTACCCCATCCCCATGCATACATCCCTCTTCCCAAAGGAACAGGGTGAAGAAGAAGAGGGGGAGATTGGTGAGTCGATGATCATGGGAGAAAAGGGTGATAAGGAGAAGGAGAAGAATAGCACGGAGGAGGATGAGGAGGGAAAGGATGATGGCAAGGAGGATGAGAAGGAGGAAGAGGTGTATAGAACGGACAAGGAGGAAGATGGAGACAAGGAAAAAAAAGAGAGCTACAGGAGGAGAGTAGTGAAGATGAAGAGGGAGAAGTAGCCGGAGAAATGGAGGAAGGCGGGGACTCTGAGGAGGGGCAACGGCCGGACAAGTTGGAGGAGGAAGAGCAGCTGCTAGAGGATGTGAGAGTACAATGGCTTATGCTGGCTTTGCTAGCTTGCGTGGACTTTATTATGCTATTACTAGCTTGGGTTTTATTTATCATGCATAGATATGCTTTATTTCCTAGGTTAGGTGCATTCCTATATGTTTTTATAGTTGTAGCACCGAACCAGGTTACGTGTACCGAACTCAAGCCTTTTCGGTTGCCACCGAATTGCTTTCTACTGAGTTCGGGAAGGTTCTGTTCGGGACGCTTCGCGACCCTCAGAACATTCGCGTAACACTTGGATAACTGGCCTTGTGTCGAGACTATATATAGCCTCGTGTTGTACCCAGGTGAATCATTCAATTCAAACTCTCTTTCCTAAGCTCGATCCTAGATCCTCGCAGAGGAGATAGGGTAACCTAAGAAAGAGGGAGAGGAAGGAGAGGAGGTGATCCCGAGCAAGAGTCCCGCGTGGGACGACGCCAACACCTTGTTCTTCTTGGAGGAAGGGGCAGTTGATCCTGCATTGAGAACTGTGGAGAAGAGGAGATTGAGACCAAGAGGTAAGAACTAAGGAGGATCAAAACGAAATTAAAGTTGATGCCTAAGGAGGAAATGAGGGAATTATAGCATTTCTTCATGGGTTGGGGCATTTGGGTGTATCAAGGAGGATCTGGTCAAGGAGGATCTGGTAATTGGTACGGAGTGAGGAGTGATGTGGTGGCATTTGTGAAGGGGTTGTCAAAACATATATGTTTATGTTTACATTTCTCTAGGCTACATTGGGGCTATCTTTAGGGGGTATAGAAACCATCTCAACACTTTCCTTGTACCCCCTCCCTTGACCTAATCGACACTTCTTCCTTAGTATTCCAACATGGTATCAAAGCTAGGACGTTCCTAGCCTAGGACCGAAAATTTTAAGGGCCCACCGTTAGTTCCTTCCTACCCGTCGTGCACCCCTAGGGCGTGATCGTTTTTTTCTTTTCTTTTCCTGCCAGTTGCGCGCCCCTAGCCCCGCCCCGCTCGTCCGCCCTGCTCGTCCGCACTCCGCTGCTGCTGCGCTGCTGCTGTGCGCAAGCGCCCATGCAACTGCTGCTAAGCGCTGCTGCTGCTGCTAAGCGTGCTGCAACCACTGCTACATGCTCTGCTGCTGCTGCCACTGCTGCATGCTCTGCTACTGCTGCTAAGCGCACTGCTGCCCAGGGCTGCTGCTGCTGTGCGCTACTACTGCTGTCACCTGCGCGGCCCCTCCTGATGCATGCACTGCTGATGCTGCTAAGCGCTGCTGCTGCTGCTAAGCGTGCTGCTGCCTCTGCTGCATGCGCTGCTGCTGCTACCACTGCTGTATGCTCTGCTTCTGCTACTAAGTGATGCTACTGGTGCTAAGCGCACTGCTGCCCAGAGCTACTGCTGCTGTGCGCTACTGGTGCTAAGCGCACTGCTGCCCAGAGCTACTGCTGCTGTGCGCTGCTGCTGCTGTCACCTGCGCGGCCCCTCCTGCTGCACGCGCTGCTGCTGCTATTGTTGCTGCAAGTGGTCCTGCTGCTGCGCCTGAGCTACTGCCGCTGCCCACGCTGCCTGCACGCACTCAGCCCGCGCGCTGCTGCTGCTGCTGTTGTGCGCCTTCTCCTACATGCTGCTGCTGCTGCTACTTACTGCAGCTGCAGCTCCTTGTTGCTGCTGCTACTTGCTGCAGGTGTCGCTCCTTGCTGCTGCTGCTCCTTGCTGCTGCTGCTCCTTGCTGCTGTTGCTCCCTACTGCCACTGCTGCTGCAACTCCTCTTGCTGCTGCTGTTGCTACGGCTACTGCACCTATGGCTAACTTCTCAGTTCTTACGTTTGACGCTGAGGGTCGCGCGATTAGCTTTGATGTTTGGCTCGATGATCTCGAGCTGTACCTGCAGAGCGAGGCTAGGGATGGAATTTCACTGTTCGTGCATACCGAAGGAACCCTCCCAGCTCCAGCTGCTATAGCGGTAGAGGATCATTCGAATTGGCTCATGCGTGACGCCACTGCCCGCCTTACTGTCCGCAACCATCTGCCCGTAGCTGAGCGTGCGCACTTTAGCCAGCAGAAAACAGCCAAGGCCCTCTATGACGCTATAGTAGCTCGCTACTCCTCCCCAGCTACTGCTGCCCTAGGCTGTCTCATGCTGCCGTACCTCCATCCCGAGCTAGCTGATTTCCACACTGTCTCTGACCTCTTTACCCACCTCCGCTCTAGTGAGGCTCGCTACTGCGCCGCTCTCAAGCCGGCCTTCCTCGCTGCAAACCCCCCCCCCGCTGTATATGACACTGTACTTCCTTGTCACTCGCCTCCCCGACTCCCTTCGCACTTTCCGGGACCAATTCCTAGCCCTTGACCCCACAGAGATCACACTTGACTCGCTCGAGAAGTCCCTTCTCGAGGCCGAGAAGAGCACTGTCGCTGTCGCTGCCTCTTGTGGCACTCCCCGCTCCCCCTTCTTTGAAGGGTGTACTCCCTCCCCTCTCCTCCCCTCAGTTGCTACTGCTGCTGCTGTCGACCTCCTTAGTGCTGAGGAGGTTAGTGCTGCGTCTGCTCCTGGTGGAAGGCACAACAACAGCAGGGGCAAAGGGGGCAAGGGGGGTGGGGGTGGGACCAGCGGTAGAGGTGGCGGGGGTGGAGGCGGCGGGGGTGGCTCTGGGGGTGGCGGTGGTGGAGGCGGACGAGGTGGTGGAGGCAGCGGGGGTGGTGGAGGCGGCGGGGGTGGTGGAGGCAGCGGGGGTGGTGGAGGTGGTCGGGGTGGAGCTGGCAAGGGTGGAGGCCGTGGCGGATCAGCTCGTGGCGTTGGTGGCCCTAAACAGCAGCTGCCGCGCCTCCCGGACAACCCCACCCATCAGCAACTTCGTGAGTAGGTTGTCCAGCGTGTTTCCCCTGGGGGCTCTGGTCACTGCCCGTACGTCAGGCGCACTGGGAAGCTGAAGGGGCAGCGCTGCGGGAAGCTGCACACCGAGTACCGCTGCTTCGGCCGTCTTGAGGATGCCTGGGTGGATGAGTACGGGAATGAGGCGATTGTCCCCAACTGGCTGAAACTGCAGGGGATGGGAGTCGATGTGTATGCTTTTGACTTTGTTCAGATCAACAAGGCTATCTATGCTATGTATGTGACTGAGCTTAGTGATGAGGGTGCGTGTTACTCGTGTGTACCTGGTGATGCTGGTGTTGCTGCTGCTGCTCTAGGTGCTAGTGAGTCTTCAGTCGCAGGTGCTAGTGAGTCTGCTGCCTCCGCTAAGGCCCTTCACACTTTCACACTTGACTCAGGCGCGTCTCGTTGTTTCTTTCGTGACTGCACCACACTCACACCACTAGCTGCACCGGTACCAGTCTCACTGGCCGACCCCACTGGGGGCCCAGTAGTCGCACGAGCCTCCACTGTCCTTCCGTGTCCAGCAGTCCCCTCTGGTTCTCTGTCAGGTCTCCACCTCCCCACGTTCTCCACGAACTTGGTGAGCAACGCCGCTCTTCAGAATGTATGGGTTGACACCTTTACTTCAGGAGGGCAGCGTGTGGCGATCTGTACGTGCTCCCGGACTGGCCGTCACCTAGCTACGTTCACTCGACGGCCTGGGTCTAGTCTGTACACTGTGACCACTGCGTCTGCACAGGTGGCTGAGTCAGGTCAGGTGACTGCTTCGAGTCAGGTGTCTGCGTCTGGTCAGCTTGCAGCATCTTGCTCGTGTCGGGTACTCTCCCACCAGACTCTCCTCTAGCACCACCGCCTCTGTCACCCCTCACTGCTGCGTCTCCGCAGCATGCACTCCCGTCTCCTTGTCTCTAGGCTTCCCAGGTCCCTGCCCTCCCTCCCGCGCTCGCCTGCACCGCCCTTCCTTCCCTGCGTCGAGGGGCGGCAGCGCGCCGCTCCTCACTCCTCCGAGTATCCTCCGACCACTGCTCCTCTGCAGACTCTCTACATGGACGTTTGGGGCCCGGCCCCCATCGGTGGAACGGACCAGGAGCACTACTTCTTGCTGGTTGTTGACGACTACACACGCTACACCACTGTCTTCCCCTTGCGTCGCAAGGCGGACGTCAGCGGTGTTTTGATCCCCTAGATCCGTACTACTCGTCGCCAGCAGCGCGATCGGTTTAGTCGGGACTTGCCAGTCCTGCGTCTGCACTCTAACAGGGGCGGTGAGTTCTCTTCTGGCCTCCTTGCGGAGTTCTGACAAGACGAGGGCATCCGCCATTCGTTCACGCTTCCAGCCTCTCCTCGGCAAAATGGGATTGCTGAGCGTCGCATTGGCTTGATCATGGAGGTTGCTCGTACCTCCATGATCCATGCGGCTGCTCCCCATTTTCTGTGGCTATTTGCGGTCCGATACGCTGTGCATCAGCTCAACCTCTGACCCCGTGTCTCTTTACCAGAGACCTCACCCACACTCTGTTGGACGGGCCAGGTTGGCGATGCGTCGGTATTTCGGGTCTGGGGCGCACTCTCCCTTGCTCACGATACCACAGCGAGCAAGCTCTCCCCTCGCACTCTTCGCTGCGTCTTCCTTGGCTTCCCCACCGATGCCCCGCCGTGGCAGTTCTACCATTCGAGCTCGCGTTGAGTGTTCTCCTCCTAGGACGTCACCTTTCACGAGTCTGTCTGTTACTACAGGCTTCACCCGCACGCGTCCCACCCTGTCCCCCTCGCACCTCTCTTCCTGGTACCAGTCCCCCCCCCCCCCCCCCCCGATCGACCCCCTCCCCCCACAGGGTCCTGCTCCCTCAGGTAGACCCACCCCCCTTGGTTGAGCCTTTGGAGATCTCTTCTGACTCCTCTGGCCCAACTGAGGGGGGTGACCCGGCCGCTGACGACACGGCGGCCACTCGCCGCTCTCCACGCTTGGAGACCCCCCCTGGTTTTCCCCCTAGACTATCTTTTCCACCTCCGCAGCCTGCTGCTATGGACTCTGGAGCTGAGACAGAGGGTGAGGGTTCTGGGGGTGCTGCGACTGGAGGTGCTGGTTCTGGGGGTGCTGAGACTGGGGGTGCTTACTCTGGGGGTGCTGCGAGTCCTGGTGGCGGTGGAGGATCCAGTCCTGCTGGTGCTGGAGCTACTAGTCCTGGAGGTGCTGGAGATACTGCTGGAGGTACTCGAGGTGCTGCTGGTGCTGGAGGTACTGGAGCTGCTAGTCCTGGAGGTACTGGAGCTGCTGGTGCTGGAGGTGCTGGAGCTGCTAGTTCTAGAGGTCCTGCTAGTGCTGGAGGTGCTGGAGGTGCTGCTGGAGGTGCTGGAGGTGCTGCTGGTGCTGGAGGTACTAGAGGTGCTACTGGTGCTGGAGGTACTCGAGCTGCTGGTGCTGTAGGTGCTGAAGCTGCTGGTGCTGGAGGTGCTGGAGGTGCTGCTGGTGCTGGAGGTGCTGGAGCTACCCCTACTGGAGGTACTGGAGGTTCTGCTAGTACTGGAGGTACTGGACCTGCTGGTGCGCTTCGCCACCTTCTTGGTCTTCCGCCAGCTCCTACTGAGTTCCCAATCGCTGGTACTACTCCTCCGTTAATGTTCCCACAGCTCTTGCCTCACAACCCACTGCCTGCTCCTGCTCCTTACACAGCTGTGACAGAGTCCCTGACTGAGTGTCGAGAGCCTGAGACTCGTGCTTCCACTCCTTAGCGTCGAGAGCCAGACACTCGTGCTTCCACTCCTGGGCGTCGAGAGCCTGAGACTAGAGCTTCTGTTCATGCTCGTGTTCCTCGTGTTCGTCGTTCTCGTGCTCCGGCTGTCCCACGCACTCACAATATGACACTCCGTCCTTCCTCTGTTCCACAGCGCGTTGTCTTGCCGTCACCTCCTGCGTCCTCTCTTGCTGCTGTTGCTAACCCTCCGTCTGACCTTAATCGTGCGTCCAGTCCGACTGTTACTTACTTTCTTGCTACGGTTGTGACGGACCCTACGCTCTCGTCTCCTGCTGCGTCTGCCTTAGTCGCTGAGCTAGTTGACTTTGCTGCTGCGTACCGCCTAGACTACCTTGCGAGTCTCGTTTCTAACCCTGACCCTGCCTGTCCTCCGTCCGTCGGGGGTGAGGTTGCCCTTGGCTGTGACGTTCTTGAGGACAGGCAGGACGAGCTGGAGTGTCTTGCGGCCGCTGCACCTCATCTCGCGACCATGCTGCTTGCCCCTGAGGGAGACCCGGATGCACTTGACATCCCCACCCCACACTCTTACAGAGAGGCGATCTTAGGTGAGTACTCCTCTCAGCGGCAGACAGCCATGTACGCAGAGATGGCTTCCTGGAAGTCCACATGCACCTACGTCGACGAGGTTCCCCCACCTGTGGCGAACATCGTCAGTGCCATGTGGATTTTCAGGGTGAAGCGACCGCCGGGTTCTCCGCCAGCCTTCAAGGCGCGTTACGTTGCTCGAGGCTTCAGTCAGCGTGAGGGGGTCGAATTCTTTCAGACCTTCTCCCCTACCCCGAAGATGACCACTCTTCGGGTGTTGCTACACGTTGCAGCTCAGCGTGACCACGAGCTGCACTCCCTCGACTTCTCCACAGCTTTCTTGCAGGGTAGCCTTCACGAGGCCATCTGGCTGCGCCGTCCACCTGGCTTCACCGGGTCGTTTCCTGAGGGTACCCAGTAGAGCCTACGGCGACCAGTTTACGGCCTGCGTCAGGCACCTCGCGAGTGGCACGACACACTGAGGACAACACTTGCGGTTCTTGGGTTTGCTCCTTCTACTGCTGACTTGTCACTGTTTCTGCGCACCGACACTACCCTGCCGCCGTTCTACGTTTTCGTGTACATCGACGACTTGGTTTTTGCTACTGCTGACACGGAGAAGCTGGCCCTAGTAAAGGCGGAGCTGCAAAACAGACACACCTGCACTGACCTGGGTGAGCTGCGGAGCTATCTTGGCCTGCAGATCACCCGGGACAGAGCACAGCGCACCATCACCCTGACTCAGTCACACATGGTGCACCACGTCCTTCAGCGCTTCGCCTTCCAGTTCTCCTCGCCACAGCTCACTCCTCTATCTACTGGCCACTCGCTCTCAGCTCCACATTCGGACGAGTCCGTGGAGCCAAGTGGTCCGTACCCAGAGCTTGTGGGTTGCCTCATGTACCTGATGGCTTGCACGCGACCCGACCTCGCCTACCCTCTCAGCCTTTTGGCTCACTACGTGGCTCCCGGTTGACACTGAAAGGTGCACTGGGATGTTGCGAAGAGGGTACTGCGTTACTTGTGCAGTACATCGGGCATGGGGCTCGTGCTTGGAGGACGGGGTTTAGTGGTACTCACAGGACACTCCGACGCTTCTTGGGCCGACGAAGAGGCGACTCAGCATTCGTCACAGGGTTACACCTTCAGCCTTGGCTCTGGATCTGTCTCGTGGAGGTCCACTCGTTATTCTTCTGTTCTTGGTTCCAGCTGTGAGGCCGAGATCTACGCTGGGGCCATGGCTGCACAGGAGCTACGCTGGCTGACCTACGTGCTGACCGACTTGGGGGAGTGGCCTCATTCTCCTCCAATTCTGTACGTCGACAACAAGGCAATGCTTGCCTTGTGTCACGAGCAGAGATTGGAGCACAGAACGAAGCACATTGCTCTTCGCTACTTTCTTGCGCGTGAGCTGCAGCAGCGTCATCAGCTCTGCCTTTCCTACGTGGCCTCGCGGGCCAACACTGCTGATGTCTTCACCGAGGCCGTTGGGTTTGGTGATCATCAGAGTTTCTGCACTGCTCTTAGGCTTGTGCCCACTCTGCCTCACTTGCTGATTGCTTGACTTGCACTTGTTGTACACTAACATATATATTTATACTTGTTTGTTCACTCTTGCTAGGTTGTAATCAGTGTACTGGCCTTGTGGCTGATTGTTTGTGCTCAGACCGCGAGATTTGCTTTGTTTGCTTCTCCTGACTAGTCTCGTGACCATTGCTTGCTCTGGCTATCCCCCATTTCGCCTATGGGGGTTTGTCAAAACATATATGTTTATGTTTACATTTCTCTAAGCTACATTGGGGCTATCTTTAGGGGGTATAGAAACCATCTCGACACTTTCCTTGTACCCCCTCCCTTGACCTAATCGACACTTCTTCCTTAGTATTCCAACAGGGGTGTGCAACGTGTGTCTTTCATAAAGGGTCATGGATGGCAAAGGTAGAATTGCAGCCGGTACCGATCTCTAAGCTATAGGAGAGGGAGGTGATGGATTTCATTGGGCCAATCCATGAAACGTCTAAGGGAGGGAACACGTACGTCATCTTGGCCATGGACCACTTCACCAAGTGGGCGGAGTGTAAGCCGATGAGGAGTACGGATGCGGCAACAACAGCGGCAGTTGTAGCAGAGAATATTATCTCCAACCATGGCTGCCCGTTGGTGATTCATACGGACAACAAGACACACTACAAAGGAGAGTTTGGGGTGCTACTAGAGAAGTTTGGGGTGCTCGCGACCGGAGCATCCTCAAAGTTCATGGCTCATTGAGAGGTTTCAACAGATGTTGAACGAGGCATTGCTGCGACTTGGGGAGACCAACCCGTTGGAGTGGGATGAGAACATATGGTGGGTGTTGCTGGGGTACAGGGCTTGAATGCATTCTTCCACCAAATTTTCTCCTTTTTTCCTATAGTACAGACGCCACCCTAACATCACGGGTGCTACCATGTCGGAGTTTGAGGTGCGGGAATTGTCGGAGCTGTCCACGGAGGAGGAAGTGGATGTGGTGGCGGGATAAGTATACAAGAGGTCTTTGAAGATGGAGGTAGTGCTGGCGCAAGCGGAAGGGAATCACGACACTGCACAAGAGAAGCAGAAGTGGAATTTGACCTAAGGAGCACCACGACTTTGGAGATGGAGAAGTTGGAGAAGGGAGACTTTGTTTGGATCAGACCGATCAAGAGGGTGGAGTGGGAGAAGCAGGCTCAGAAGTTTAAGATGATGTTCAAGGTGAAGGAGGTGGAGCCGTTCCATGTGTTGATAGAGGATAAGGCAGGAACTCCATGGAGGGAGTCTCAAGAGAATGTGAAGTTCGTGAAGGTAGCACCTTAGATCCACAACCCCACTCTCCCAGCGAAGTATAGACCACCTATACACCCCCCCACTCTCCCCGTGAAGTAGACCGTCTATACAGCCGCCACTCTCCCCGCGAAGTATAGGACAGCCTATACAACTCCACTCTCCCCGCGAAGTATATGAACGCCTATACAACCCCACGCTCTTGCTCATGTTCAAGCGCGCAGTAGGCTACTAGCGATCAAGCGAACTCGGCGACCAGGCAACCACAGCGATCAAGCGACCTTAGGCTACCTTAGGAGACATGTGGAGAGGAGCAGTTCAAGGTAGTGTTCTTGAGGGTGTTGGTGGAGGGGAGTGCAGGAGCATCTTGGATGCAGTTGATAGATAAGGACGACCCAGGGTTGGAAGGTAGGAGCTTGGAGGTGAAGAAAGGAGAAGTGAACTGGCAGTGCAGTACGGATGGGCCATTCCTCTTCCGGACCCCTTTCTTTCTCCTGCTTCTTTCCAGGTTCTCAGTCTCCCTTTCTTTCTCCTGCTCCTTCCTGTTCTAATGCCCCCATCTCCTCGCTTACGTCCATGAAGGCCCATCCTTCCAAGATCCTGCCTTCCTCCTGCTCCTCAATATCGTGCAGCTGCCTTCTCCTCCTCCTCGCTTCATCTTGCTCTTGACGCCTCTCACTGATTTCTATATCTCTCTGTATCTCCTTCCGGTTCAAGTGCATTCGAATCGTCTCTATCAGCCAGCTCATGAATTTCATGTCCATGGCTCGGCCCAGCGCCGCTCTCCTTTGCTTCTCGGTGACCTAGGGTGAGCCGTCGTACCCCATCGGTGCCCCATTGCCATCTCCCATTCTTCGGCTGTGAGTTCCTCCCACTCCCTACTCCTCACGTCATATATCATCCCGGGCCCTTGCAGCTCCCTTTCCATGACAAAACCCCTAGCTTTTTCATAAGCTACTAGCGTGGGCAAGGCTTGCCTGGGCTTCCCTGGCACGTTGCCCTGGTACTACGAGGGGTGGTCGGGGCTTGGAGCTGGCCCCAGGATATCGCTGACCAGCCTAGGCTCGGGCCGTTGCATCTGTGCCATGGCATGCCTGAGGCTAGCTTCGAAGGTGCCGTTCTGCCAATATCTGCGCGGCCGGTGGGCTCTGGACCCCAGCTGTGTGGCATCCACCGCATGTAGGGCAGCTCCCAATCTCCTTTGTTGCCCTGTTCACTTCCAACCCCTTCAAGCTCCCATCCTTCACCAACTTCTGCAGCATAGGAATGTTGATATGACACAACCTCTCGTGCCACGTCTCCCAGTCGGCCTCACCACTCCCAGATGAAGCCATTAACGGAACTCACATCCAACCTTCAAAACTCCACTCAGGCACACCCACAGGCCATGGTGGGTCTAGAAGAGTCTTGAAACTTCATTAGGCTCTTTACAAAGTCCGTTATCAGCTTTGATACCACTCGTTAGGATCAAGGATGGAGTCTAGGAAGAATAGAGGCCGAAATAACTCAAAATCGTTAGACTATAATTCTGGACATAAATGTCGACTTCACAAGAAACACCGTCGACATAAAGTTCACCGTTCAAACTTCACCAATTTTAGATATGTTGTGGTTAT